GTTCAATATTTATTTCTTAAATTTTCAGTTACTGTATTTTTAAGTTTTATTGAAAAATATAAATTACAGGAATTTTTAATAAGTAATTTATTATGAAATATATTACTGTATAATTAAACAGCAACTGATATTTTGTTTTTATATTAACAGTATTTGTCTTTAAATGTCATTGTTAAAGAAACAATAATACTAAATGGGCATTCATAGTATCAATGTTTATGTAAACATCAATTAATACTATATAACTATGAATAATATTCAGTATTGCAAAACTAAGTGTATTTTATATCAGAAATACTTGCTGATGAGAGAATAGAGATTGCATAGCATATATAATCTGTTTAGTAAAAGCCCAGAATTTTTAGTACTGGGTTATATTGCTCTTTTTTTTTCATCTCCCAACAAGAGACTACTTATAAATGTTATAAAAAAAAATCTGAAAATTATTATAAATGCATAATCCTAAATAGTAAAATTAGATGAAACTTCTAATCCTATTACAGTATAAGATGTCATCAGAAAAAATTAAATATAATCGAAATCAATAAGAAAAACAATGAAACTTTGAAGAGATTTCTGACATAGAAAGTGGCATATGCAAACACATGTCTCCCATCTCCACCCTACCGTAACACAAGCAATTATTGCTGCTTCTATGTGCAATTGACGAAGTCTAGAAAAACAAATTAAATTATATGTATTATTGTTACTTCATTAAGATTCTTATGATCCTTGAGTTTACTCTGTATAATCTGCTTATAATAATTATTAAAAAAAAAACGAAGCTTTTGCATTAAGTTGTATTATGAACAGCTTTGCGACATTGGGAATAAATAGTTTTTTCCTTTTTAAAATTTTCACTCATTGCTGCACTGTACACTGGCTTAAAAATATATGAAATATACTTCAGTTAAACGAAAAATCCTTGAAACTTATTATCGACATGTACAGTACTTGACCACCACCACCTAGATATATATCCATTTGGTTGAGGCTTGACCCCTTTTCAAGTCTAAATGAATCCCAAGGGCATACATGTGCATTCGTAAACAATTATCATCCCTTAGATGAAAAAATGAACCAACCCAAGGCCCAACTTTCATTGTGTGGACTATAAACTATTTGCAATAGGATTTCTGTTTATATGAAATTTTAAACTAAATCTTATGCAGTATCTTAATTGTTATCTGCATTATTTCTTTCATTTGAAAATAATAGAAATATCTTTCAATAGTTTGAATTAAAGGTATTTTAGTGAAACTAGGATTTTTTTCACTAAAATCAATATTTGTTCATTCAAAATGATATTGTTTTCTGATAAAGTTATTTCATTAATAGATTTGAAGTATAAATGAAGATGATTATATATATATAAATTTTTTATTAATTATGTAAAATAAATATATTTTATTTTATCCACTTGTTTAAGATGATCATAGTTATATTTTTAATATGAAGGTATAATGCATATATTAGAATAAGACATTGTTAATGATACATATTTGGAATGATCATTGAAAGATTGCCACTATCTGTCTAAAAATAGAATTATATTCTGAAATGATTTATTAGACCTATATTGTTTCATTAATTATTTCAAGTACAGTATCTGTTATTGTAATAATAGATATTGTTATCAGAATTACATGTCCCAAATATAGCCTACAAGTTAAAATACATTTATAAAATTTTTGTGTTATTGTAATCACAGAGCTTTGGTTATAATTAGTATATTCACATAAATGGTCATTTTTTAGCTTTCTTTCACACCATTAGTCTCAATATGTTGGTAACATAATAATTTACAAATCTTAAAAGTGTTTTACCAATCTGGAAAAAGTCTTATTAGTGCTTTAAGTATTGAAAACGTATCATTTTAATTGTTATCACCATATTGTAATTTAAACCGGTGACATTTTTACTTCAGTTATATCTTAGACAACACTGTCAGAAAGCAACAAACAATACTGGATGAACTATTATTAATTATTATATTAAACCATTTTAATAAAAACTTATCTTTTTAATTAGAAGTCAATTAAACCAGAATTTTCAGTGATTATCAGTATAGATAAACTCCAAAGTGTTTGAAATAAGTAGATTCTAGTGTATATTACAAATCTACACTACTGTTTGTACCATTGAGCATTGTATTTTTGAAAATGTATTTTATGCACATGTTTTGATGATGATATGGACACAAATTTTTATAGAACTGCTTAGCGGTTAACTTTCATTCATTCATTTATTTATTTATTTTGAATACACTAGATGAAGTCAAACATGATTTAAGATAATCGCTCCCATAAAAATAATATAAAAGAAATCTTGTAAAAAGGCATATAGCAAATGATAACAAAGAACTTATGCCATAAAAAACTATTTAAAAATAAAGCTAGAAATGAAAAAAAGACAATTTAAACCATACAATATAAAAAATAAATATATACCACATAAAATAAAATAGTAATTAAACTGGGCACCACATTATAAAATATGTTTACACATTTTTTTTTTTTTTTTAAATGAATAAAATTATAAAATAAATATTCTTCAATTTGTAAAATACAGTAGAGTGTCGATTTTCCGAAAGTCAATCATCCGAAAGAATTCCAGTCGGCAAATTTAAATTTTCGCCAGTACTGTGGCGCTTCAATCTTTGGCTATGTCTTGGGCTACTCAAATATTTTACGTTTTTGATACTAAATTAACATCTGAAGTATAATTTTTTATTATTTTTATATTTTTCAATATATTTATTTTGTTTGTACAAAATAAAAAAATAATTTTTAACGATACAATAGTCTTTGTTAGGCTTAACATCGACGAAAATTCAACGCGAAGCGACACACAACAGATAAAAATTTCGACATTGGATACGTTAAACTATTTTTTCGTACGTAAATCAGTTATCTGAAATATCAGTTATCCGGACAACCCCAGTCCCCAATTGATTCGGAAAATCGACGCTCTACTGTATTAAAAGAGTGCAGTAGAAAAGAGATTTACATGAGCAATACAACCTGAAAATAGAAGGTTAATTGAACTTCTTGATTATGATGCTCTCTTACAAACCAGTGCTGCTATTTGATTTCTCAAAATATCACGCATTCAATGGTGAAGTTTCATCATTCTATCCTCAGTGAGTCAAAAGTTAGTTCAGAAGTGAAAGTTATTTCTACAATGTCCTAAGACATGTTCCACTCACAAAGAGCAATGATGTTTTATCAAAGGTCAAGTCATACTAATACAAAATGCTTATCAATGCCAGAAGGAATTACAAGAAGTGTGTGTTGCCCTAATGTACTGTATAGTCACAAGATGAGTAGAGACTTCCAACATAAGAAGTGATCATGCTTGAACATAATGCAAATGGAACAGATACAAAGTGTGTTGAAGCTGCTAGGAAGATACTGGAGAAATGGGTATGAGAGAAGAGTTTCTTTGCTAAATAATTCTACTCAAAACATAGAGACGATCATGAATCTGAATCAAAAATGCAAGTGGTGGCAAGCATTGTCACCATGCCCCAGAAAACTATTGCAAGAATCTGGAAAGCTGACATTAATGATGATATTGCTGTTTCTTATAACTTTGAGGGCATTCTTTTAGCCAATGATATACCATGAGGACAGGCAATAAACTCTGCTTGTTAACTACATTCACTTCCTGGAAAAACATTGCATCTAGCAGTCCAATAGAAAAGGCCTCAGTTGCTGCAGTCACATCTGATTGTCCTTCACAACAATGTCCTGTGTCATATTTCTTCAGCAATAGTGTCATAACTGGAATGGTGGAAATGCAATCATAGTGTTACCAGAGTATACCATATCTGATAGCTAGGTTTTTAGTAATTTTGCAAATGTAATTAGAAAAGGTAAGATATCTTTCAAATATGATACCAAGATTGTTAATCATATTGACATAGATAACCAGATGATTGGAGATGAATGGAAAGAGAATATTATTTCATACTAGCATGAAACACATCACCACAGTCTTATCTAGGTTAATTTTCAGATTAAATGACCCAAGAATAGTTGTTAATAATTTTGTCATCTTAGAGAAGGCTAGGATTTGAATTAATCACTTTCATATAGTCGGCATATAAAAATAAAGTTAAAAAAAGATTCACCTGAGCAATGATGTAATCTGTATAACAGATAAATAAAAGACTAGATAGGATATAGCCCTGAAAAATGCCATACATCAGAGAAATGGATGAAAAGAAAAATCCCAAAGTTTTATATTAAATGCCATTAAAACAAAGTAATTGTTAAGCCAAATTATAATTGAAGGCTGAATATCTAACAGCTGAGATGATGATGTAGAATCAAATGCTTGTTTATTGTCAAGATAAATAATAATTAAATATAAAATGGTATTTAAGTTTAGAAGAGTCTAGAACTGATTCCCAAACTTTTTCAAGTCATTGTGTCCTCAATTCCATAAACTTATACCCAGTGTCCCCTTTCCCTTGTGTAAGAAAGACTTGGAAATATTCTTAGAAAAACTTTTCTAGGAATCTCATACTTTGTGTCCTTACTGTACATTGTTCTCCACATCTGGAAATTATTAAATGCAATATTTCTTCCTACTCGTTTTAACAGAGGTAAAGGAAAGGTTAGCTGTGATCCCGATACTTTCCTACGATAACTGTTTGGTCAGCACCCTGCCTTTAGTATCCCCTGCCACCCACTTGCTTCTTTTTGCCTCCTAGATTTACTTACCACCAATGGGGCAGTAGCACTCACTTTGGGAATGACTGGTCTAGAATAATGGTTTATATTTGTAACAAATGGTTTACATTTATAACAAATTGAACAGTTCAATTTAGATGAATTAAAAAAAATCATAAGTTTCTGTATTCATTTAAATTGAATATTTTGTACTTGTATTTTTCTTGTTAGTTTTTTAATTTTTTATTTTCAAAAGTCTAAAAATAGAAATTATTTTAAAACTTGCTTATAATTAAGAAATATGTAAATTTATTTTTTTAGATGAAGAAAATTAAGAAATGGCATGGAAATTCGAAAAGAATGTATTCATATAACCCATTCCAAAAGGCCTGGGATTCTAAAAAATATGAAAAATATGAGGTATGTACTAAAATCAAATCAAATTATTTGCATAGGTCTTGCAATAATTGCTCTTTTGCTTAATTTATGAAGTATTATTATGGTTTTATTTTCTTTGGCTGAGATAATTTAGATTTCATATAAGGTAAGTGAAGGTGATGCAATCACCTTAAGTTTTTTCAATTTTTTTTTAAGTTTTTGTGAGGGTGGGGAAAAATGAAAATAGGTACTACATACAGATTTTATTAATAAGGAAAAATATTTGAGCACTTTATATCCTTCTTTCCAATCCTACAGCACTTATTTTTCCAAATATTGGCAATATGAGTATTTACCAGACTGGGTAGCAGATAAATATGCCACCCAAATAAATTCTCATTTTGAATTAATTTTTGAGAAGTACCAAACAAGATTATTGTTAAAAATGTTTAAATAAAACATGCTAGAGCATTTCCAAATTTATGAAAGTAGAGAACATTAAAAAAATATATTTAATTTTCTTATCACTACATTTTAAGAAATTAAATAATTAAGAAAAGAACTTTTACATCAATGAACTTACTGATAATACTCAGTACATAAAAAAAGTGTAATTTGAACTAATATTGAAATAAGTTACAAAATAAATGCATTTGTAGTGCATTTATGTTTTTAAAAGTGTTTAATGTACTTAACCAATCAGTATAATAAACATTATTTAAAAAATAACACATTTTTGCTGGCCATAAATGGACTGCTTACACTTTCAAAATCATGAAATAATTTTTTCTAATTTTTTAAAAAGTGCAAGTTTCTTGAAAAAGAAATAATATCCTTAAAATAAATAAAACAATACAATATATTATGTTATAAATAAAAAAAATATTCAATTTCTATTCACTTTTAAGAAATATTACACTGATATTATATATCGTAATTTATAATTTATTCATTTCCACTTTATATATATTGATATATGGGGGGGTTAAAATAATCATGGTGTGCAGGTGGTATATAATGTAATAAGTCCATCATATGTTTGTACTTGGGTGTTGAAATTGGTCTTACATTTTTGTACAGTGGTGTCAATTCAGTATTATTAAAGTTTCTTGATCTCTCCCAATGCAAGAGTAAATCCAGAGTTTTAAATTCTGTATCCTCATTAATTGATGTTTTATAGAACATTTTATATCGTTCAGTTCTCAAAAAACACATCCAACATATTTTTAACCAACCTACTGTTTCTTCATTAGTATTCTTTAACAGTGCTTGTTTTATTTTCTTCATATTCAAGCAAGTATAAATTAAACATAATCTTTATATTCAGATTAGGATGTAAGAATTTTATGTTAGGATTATAGGTATTAGGATTATTGAGGTATGGAGCTGCACCATTGATGCATTATTGTTATAAAAATTATGTTATATATAATAGATTTATTATTTTAATTATTAACTAAAAACATTTTACTCCATAATGTACTGCATATTAGTTTGAAACTTGTCAAGGTGGACTTAGGTCACTTTCAAAATAAAATTTTCATTGTTTTTTTAACCAGCTAATTTTCTGTTTCCAAAATCTTAATGAATTTCAAATATAAGCTGCAAATTGTTTAAAATGAAAAATAATGTAGAAATGTAAATATTATAACAGCTGACTTAATTTTTTTGGAAAAAGGACTTAGGTCACTTTTAAAATAAATGTCTTGAATAAACCTCAGCATCATAATTACTTTCATGTGTAAATTTTGAACAGACATAAATGGGGTAAATAAGAAAAAACTTCTCTTTACCACATTTTAAATGAATGTTGAGCATTAAAATTATTGAAAAAAGAATTTATTATTTGATATGTTTTATAAAATACAACTATCACAAATTACTGTTAAATTTAACAATTATTCTAAAATGTTTGTTTACAAAGTGTTTACTTTCTTTAGTGAAATATATGAATTACATTTACATTATATACATTATTTTGAAGTTTAGTTAATTTAAATTAGAAATACCCCATTTGTTTTGCTTAATTTCATAATCTGCCTGAATTTATTAATTGAAATGTTCATATGAAATGAAATGATACAGTTAGAGAAAATTATAGATGCACTGTAGGATTGTGTTTGTGCAGCATGCTATGCTATTTTAATGAAATAGAAAAATTTTTCCTTAATATTGTTTAACAAAGTAAATTAAAATGTTTTTATGTTTAAAATATGCTTCTGTTACATTTTATTACAATAGATATTTTAAAAATGAAGGACAATCTTTAACTGTAAATTTATTATTCAAAACATAAGCAATTTACTGGTATTATAAACCACTGAAACTTTTCTGAAAAATAATGAATATTGAGGTAGAAATTACTGTAATAATAAAACTGACTTAAACAATTTATTATTATAGTTTAGGTTTTGGATCATTTTATTAACAATTAATTAAAATGATGGAAATAATTAAGGTTGAAAATATTTTTTGAAAAGTGACATGAATTCAAATGTTTTGGTTTCAGATTGCAAAATTATAATTTAATAAATAATAATTATGCAGATAAATTTGACTAAATTGTGAGAATAATATTCAAATAGCAAAATTTTCATACTTGATTGCTTCTTGTTTTCTTTTTTGTTCTTTGGAATTAAGTATTGCTGTGGAGAACTTATCATACAGGAACGCTTTTATTGATGGAAAAGGTATAAAAGAATAAAGAATAAAATTTAATTATTTTTGAAGTTGTAATCATATATGAAGCATTTTGATTATTTTCTAGAACAGGAAATGTTAAAATAAGAAATTTTCTGCAATACACTTTAACTGCAATTTATTTATAATATAGGCCTAATCAGATACATTAAACTAGATTTAAGTTCTTGCATGTAGGTTCTATTGCTCATTGATTGCATCAAAATGATGTCATTTTGACTCGTTCTCACTGCTTGAGAACAGAAATTATTAAATATATTAACCTTTACAAATGCAAGATTAAGTTCATTGTCACATTCTTTTTGAGTTTTATTTGAAGATACAATGAGTGCTAGATTTTTTTTTCTTCACTTCTAATGATTACTGAATGTCTCAACATTGTGAAATAACATAATTTGCATCTTGCCGATGGGAAGTCAATGCCCAGCTTATAGAAAATGATCAAACACTGCCTAGTGGTAGGCATGTATGAATTGCTGCCAGAAAACATTGTTTAAAACCTGATGAAGGACTTTGGAGGTTTTTTCATAATTTGACAAATGCATGGTCAATTTTGTTAGTCAAATGAATAATTTTGTTTGCAAAAATGATTTGACTAGTGGAGAGTGGGAGCACTTCTTTTTGAAATGTTGATGATAGACAAAGGTTTCAAACTGCATGTTGTTCTCTGGCTTAGGAATGCAAATGAGTTTATTGTTAGCAATAATTATTTTATATTCAATAATAAAATCTATTTACAGCAATAAGGTGTCTCAATGGATTATCCTTTGTCTTCACTGTTGGCAGAAACACTAATGAGAATTTGGAGTGTAAACTCTTAATTTTCAAATCTTATCCTTACATTATGTTGATGATGTCCTCATTGCACAGGAGGAGAAGTTGACAGATTTTAATCTGTTTGTAAGCAATGTGCTTACAAATAATATACAGTCAATCCTTGTTAGTATGCCACTGTCTGATCTTCCCTCTTTATTGGGACTATTTTGAAATTAGAAAAATATTCAGAAAATATTGAAGAAGAGAAAATTTATTATAACCTGTAAATACCTCTACAACAAAAACAAGAGTTGAATGAAGGAGTAAAATGTACACACACTACAAGTAAATACAAAACATAAAAATATTTCCAGACAAAGAAATCTGGTATTAATGACTGCTTTTTTATGCTTAAGGATTTCATCAATATCATTTATGGCATAAACATGGGACATTACATCAGAAACAGCACAGTATGCTTCTAGGAAGGCTTTGACTATTCTAATGCTTTTTTTTGCATTTTTAGAAGATGGTGGATGCTCCATTTTCTGTCTCATCATCTGAATCAGAATTTTTGTATAATTTGCAGTTCACATGATGTCTTGTATGTTTATTTCTTCAAGAGTTGGCAAATTGTCATCAAGGTTTAAACATTCTTCTGAAGTCAAGGGATTTTTCAATGATGCTGTTATTGAAACTGGTTCAAAACATTGTCAGCACTTCTACCATATGATTTTGCTTTGAAGGCCTATAAAGTGATGGAATTAACTGTGTGTGCCTCTGGCAATTTTGGATTGTTTCAGGTGTACAGGAAATTGTGTTGTCTAGCTGCTTGCAGTAATACAATTTACTTTCATTCATATTATAAAGATTTTGTAACTCATACTGTCCAGTTGTGTCAGACAATGTTTCACGAGAATCTGATACAACTTTGGTCATTCACTTCAGCTGTTTCAAGAGCTGAAGTGAATGACCAAATTCACCTTGCCTGATATGCTGTGAAAGTCCATGACTGCTTGAATCATGCCAACCAACCATTGCTATATTGGAAGTCTGTAATTCCCATCTGTCTTTCAAATTCTTTTGTTTTTTCTGTTTTGTTTTACAGCTTCTGTTACAATTCCATGCTTGGCATTAACTTTGTTAATCTACATTGCTAGGGCATCTTCAAAATTCTCCATGTTTAGCAGATGTAAGACACAATGCCTTAGAGGAAGGCTCTTGCAGCCACTTTGTTTTTTCTTCCAAGTTGTGTCCAATGCATCTGCAACTGATTGTTTCTTCCACAAAAAAGAAAATGTTTTTAACTAGCATTTGGAAATTTCTCTTTGTATAAACAAATTTTATGTTTTTCTTTAATCAAAATGACTGTTTGTTTACTCTTATTGAAGACACTCAAACAACATATTACAGCAAGTTAACAATACAGTAGGGTAGAACACTATGAAAGAGCAACAGATTTCAAAACAAGAAGTCAAGACTCATTGCTATCTGCTGTGGGTGAAACACACCCAACATTCCACCAAAATAATTCATTACCAAACTGTTTAGTGGAAGGGATTCCAAAAATTTTTACTGGCATTAAG